CCGTATATTTAGAGAATCTTTCCTTATATTTACCTAATTTTCAATCAATTCTTTCCGTATATTTACGTATCTTTTCGTGTTTTTCAACTAGTTATTTCCGTATATTCCGTATATCTACGTATTTTTCATTCGGTGCTTTCCGTAAATTCCGTATATTTCCGTAACTTTCCGTATATTTACATATTTTTTTCAATCAGTTCTTTCTACAGGCACAAGTCCTGGAATTTCACATACTTTTTTTTATCCGAGAAAAATTTGATCTGAACTTTTTGTTTAGATTCACATGTTTTTATCACTCTATTTTAATCCGTCCTTCTTTTACTCCGACCAAAATTTATTCAAAATATTTTATTCATATTTATTATTTCTTTGTGTTTATATAAGACTATCGAACAGATAAGTGGACTGTAGTTCGATTTACATTTAATCCCGTCAACATTTAATCAAATCAATCACTTTCACTGTTTGTTTTCATCAATCCATTCTAACAAATCCCGTCTTCCCACTTTCTTTCAACCGGATCAATATCTGATCAAAACATTTTATTCACATTACGTATTTGATTGCGTTTTAATTCATTCATTCCTGCTTACAGGCGTATTAAGTGTATAATAAGAGTTTTTTTAATCATTTCACCCCAAGCAAGGCAATAAAGCCACTAAGATGCATGGAGTTACTGAGTGTGAAAGAATATGAGAAAAGGCATTATTAAAGAAAGAGTACAAATAAAAAAAACAGGAATTAATGAGACAAAATATAACAATTGACATTACATTTAAATTTGTGAAGATCCAAGTTAATTGGAAAGCATGGAGCCGGAAACAAGTCTGACAAGCGAGAAGTGCGAGAAAAGAAACAGTTAGCTTAGGGTCAGTGTAAATTAATGAGACACTGTTGCAATCTAGTTCCGATCTTAAATGCATAAAGTCTAGATACCCTAGCGAAGAGATCATCTGAATAATTACCCTGAAGTTATTTGTGAAGCAAGTTTACGGCGGAGAGTAAGTTACGGAAGCCGAAACACCAGGTCAGAAATAATAATATTGCTTATTCTCCTTTGTGTTTTATCAAGAATCTCTAAATAAATAACAAGAGCACAGATTATGGCCGTAATATTCTAGGCATGGGCGAATGGTAGATTTATAGATATATAGCCATTTCAAATGTAAAATGATGAAACCTAGCTGGCAATCTAGTACTGTGTTGAAATTCGTAAAGTTGATGCAACATAGAGCAAAATGATATTTATTTTGATTAATACAAGCGCCAAACTTGGTATAGTGGAAGGCTGGTCTTCAAATTGTCTTATCTTACACTTTTGCTATCCCCGATTATTGACCCGAACATACCAAAGTATTCCTTACACCAAACCAACACATTCTTTCTGCAGCCACCATAATTTCAATGAAATATTTTTCTAAGAATAGCTTGGATGTGGCACCAAATATGTAGAGCACCAAGTAATGAGTGAACAGTCCCAGAGAAACCACGTAGGAAATTGACTCAAGCAGAGATGCCAGGTCCGGGCCAATAATATTATCGATTTTTCTTTTTATTTCATAAAGAATCACTAGCAGAGGCACCAGACCAGATGTGGCAGCAATATTCGATGCATAGACGTGTGGTAGACTTACAGTTGTATAAGACAGAACCAACTTTCCTAGCAACACATTTGTTGGTTTTATTTTGATGCTAGCGTGTTATCTGATAACTAGAACCAGCTTTGCAATTCTGATGGGTCGACTCGAGGACTTGAGCTGACTTCGAAAATTGGCTTTTCTTTGTTCGTAAAAGTCGGCAGAGTCTAGACGTACTAAATGTTTTGTTTCGTAAAGAACAGAAAAGTTTCCTTGGCATTCGTAAATAATTAGAAAGAATAATAACCAAAAGCCCTCGCCGAAATTCGTGAATCAAAAAAATAATCATTTCACAACTCTTGTTTCGTTTTGTATTCAATTGTTTTCCCTATCGTCTGCATTTCCACGTTTATTTTTCTTCTTTGAATCTTCTGTTATTATTCAAAAACAATAATGCTTTTTTTTTATACGAGTGAAGATCTTTCGCCATCTCTTTTTAATTTCCAGTCGTTTCTCTATTGTGGTGTTTTCTGTTCAGTTGTAGCATGTATTTCTTTTCTTTTATTTTCCATATCTTTTGCCAAGATAATAGTCCTGTTTGTTCGTGTTTGCATGCAGCACATCAGTTCTATTCATGTCAGACATACTCTCTGATCATATTATTTTCGACTTTTGTTTTTACAAATATGATTCTTTTATAACATCCGCCATTGTTGTTTCGCTGTTTTCTAATTCGTCTGATTGCATTTATTGTGATGTCCGCCATCCGCCAAAAAAGTTATATGTAGAACAAAGTTTTAGCAAAATATCGACATTTATCCATCAACCGTAATTGCCGAAAATAATGTCGAAGAACCAAACTTGGTTGCGATAGATGAGTAACAGCGATCCTTGTAGAAAGTGAGATCGACCAACGAAGCTCAAATTCCGGTTCGCAATTGAACAAATGCCCTTGGGAAAGGTATGAATCTCTTCTATCAACGAGCTACAGTTTAAATATCCATTCAGATCCTAACATAGACATGGTTTATATTATTATTACTATTAGTAACAGGATTTCCGGTTTGAATTTTGTGTTCTTTCTTTCTTTCTTTCTTTCTTTCACTGAAATCACACTGCGTCTCTGATACGTCTTTTCTGTATTTCATTGCTATCAAAACGGAACAGTCCATTATTTATGAGGTATTGGCAGGGTGTTTCTTTTTTCCTTTCTTTCGCTTTCTCACTGAAACCAAGTAGCGTCTATGATATGTCTTTTCCATCCAAACGGAGTAGTTCATTATTTATGAGGTACTGGCAGGGCGTAGCGTACGTTTTAACAAAGGAAAGAAGTGACACACCAAGAGAAGTCGAGATGCCAGGTCCGGAACAATAATATTACAGACATTTCCTGGTTTTTGTTGAGAATTTCGAAATATATAACACGAGAATGAAACCACTTTCGACAGCAATGCACGGACGATAGAAACATTCATCAGAGTGCCAGATGAATTTTAACGATTAAATTTTTTCTTGGACGCTAGAGAGAACCAACTTTTCCAGGATTTATTTTGCGCAACAAGTAGTTCTTCTGTAAGTCTCATAGGCGTCCAGGATATGACGAAAACTACATCCGGTAACATCCAAAGATTGGAAGTTTTGAGGAGCGTGGAACCACCACTTAATTGCTGTTGTCCCCAGGTTCAACCTGACCCAGGGTGGTAGCACATGTTCCAGTCCCATCTATGGGCGATTAGTGAATCCCCAAACAAAAATCAACAGTACATTTTTATAGCAAAATAACAATCAATGCAACACTAAAAAAAAATAAAAATACATGTTTATACTAAAATTACATCAATACATTTAGTTATCTTCAAATTATATATCTAAAAAAACATACTTTTACCCTAAAAGTATAAAATTATGTTCAAATATCTGTATTTGAAAGCATAAAAATTACGTATAAATATTTAGAGTTTGGCAGTAAATAACCCAGGATATGACGCTAAACAAAATCGATCAACCAGCCAAGCCTTATAATCAAGTCCTCTAGGCAATATCAAATAAATAAAGGATTCAGATCGAATTCCTTGAAAATTCCTCGGATTAACAAACACTTTAAGAAGACCCGAAGATACAGCGGCCGAGATGGTGTGAAATAACATCAGAGATGAAGATATTAGTCAGACGAAATAGTTTAAATTTTACTCAAGAAAATGAGACATAATTTATGTTAGATCTTCTTCGAATTATAACCGGCTAAAGATGTGTCCCCTTATACAAGGTGCTGTGTATATATTAGTATAATTTTCAGGCTTTCGGTAGGACATAAAAAAATTGAGATTTTTATAGAAAACTAGCAGTAGAGCCCAGCGGTGCCCGGTGATGTAACAGTAAGAGATAGATCAAGTATCGACTGAAAAATAAAATTGACAAAGATTATTGTTTAGGTTGACGGACACGCATGTCTTAATTAGTTTTTTTTTGTTTTGCTTTGTTTTTTGTTTTTTTTTTACGAATTGGTCAAACCCAAACTTAAACAAAAACATTGTTTTCAATCGTTATGAGTCTACCGATTGAATAGAATTTTATTATAAACAATTGTCTTGTAAATAGAATTTTTAAAGCATTCTGAATGTAAAAATAAAGAAAAAGTGTGCAAGACAATAGAAACATTACCTGCCAAAAAAAAAAAAGTGAAGTTTTGTTGAAATCGGTTGAAAAATGTAGGAAATCCGATGCCATATACAAACGAACACACACACACACACACAAAAACAACCTGGGTTTTATAATAAGTATAACTCGATATGAGTTGTCCCCTTTCATTCTCGTGAGGCCTCTTAATCGTGTTTTCAAATTGATTTTGTGCAAAAACAATTGTGTTTTCCCAATTCTTGGCGCTGTCAGAACCACCGCAAGGTAATTTTACGTAGTCCTGTGAAGTTCTGTTGAAATCAGTTGAAAAATGTAGGAAATCCGATCCAATATATGAACGTACAGACACACACACACACACACACACAACCTGGGTTTTATAATAAGTGTGATTTAGAAAACTGCATCTATTTGTTTTAATTTCCAAATTCAAAACGCAGCGCAGGTGTTCATTTTTTTTTTTTTTTTTTTTAAATTTTAATCCAGGTGGAACCTGTGTTACCTGACGGATATTCTTTTTCTAATTAATTGATTTGTTTTTTATGGTTTATTAACCTTTTTCAGGTTATTTAAAGCCAGAAAATAAGAAGTTTTGGGGGAAAATAATAATGATTCAGGGATTCAAGTCTTACTAATTAACCCATAGCTGGGGGTGGATTCATATGTTTATTTATAAGTGTATTTGTGTGTAAGTGAATGTAACGAACCCAACTGGAATTGGAACACAGCTCTCCGATTGACAATTCTGAATCATTATCCAAGACATCATCTGCACAACCATGTTTACAGCACCTTGTATTCCCAAGCAGAAACCTATCTAGGTACAAGCCGGGCTCAACATTGCTTAACTTCGGTGATCGTACAGACACGGGTGTTTCACCGTGATATGGACGTAAATTTAATTCTTTAGTTTGATTAATTCAGTAGGATTAGATGGGCTTGACTATCGTCCGGTTCACACTTCTCTCCTTTCTTTTAAGAAGGAGTAGAGGTTTAACACTTGTTACTCGTTTAAGATTGGGTTTCCGGTTCCTGCTAAAATCTACTTGAGATTTATACTTCTAACGTCTCCGATTAATCTCTGAAATTTTATTCACTAATTATGTCTTAACTTCTTCAAGTCTAGAGTTAACTGTTATCTTTGCTGCATCGTCTCAAGAAATTCACTTCTTGCGCTTTCTTACGCTAATACAACTCCGCATAGTAATCCTCTAGTTTGAGTAGCTCTCGGTCCTTGTATTGAGGAAATATTAATAAAAAAAAAACACATTAAGCCAGTTGTTCATCGTTTTATTCTTTAAACGCTATATTAATCCAGGTGGAACCTGCGCTACCCGACGGAGCTTTCACAAACTAGATTTACACTAATCCAAATCAGGGGAAACGAGTCTGTGAAGATTGTGTAACGCCATTGCGATAACACAAGCAATTATTGATATTAAGATTGAGAGGCTTTCTGGTGCCTCAGTAAACGTTCGACTTTTACACGAAAACAATGATTTTGTATCGACAAGGATCATGTGATTCGTTTCTGAGATCATGTGTCGTATTTCATCTCCTATAGGAAAGAAAGTTAGTTTCCTAAATGCCAAGGGACCAACAAACCACAATGTCCTGCTTCAGGATTGAACTCAAATAACCTTCTTCACAAGAGACTGAAAACTCACAGGAATTCAATAATCCCCCCCCCCTCTGGACAATTTTCCTTGCCCTTCCTAAGTTCTCTCTAATCCGGTTAACATCTCGCAAAAGACGAATAATCGATAAAATCTTCAGGTAGAATTTTTTTTCTCCAAGTCCATTGCGAATTTAACTTTGCTAATCGATTGCACCATGCCAATACGGGTGTTGGGAAGGTGCTAGATTTAAAGTTGTCTGTCTAATCCTGTGTTTGCTCAGATTACAACGATCACTGATCTGTCACGCCTTATCAGGATTTTATGGCTGATATTGATTCGAACGTTTACTGAGGCACCAGACTTAGAAAGTAGAAATTAATATTTACAACTATTAGGTTGGTGCGAAAATAATGGCGTAATAATGTCGTTTTTTGACTTTAAAAAAATAAGTTAAAAAACGACATTATTACGTCATTATTTTTGCACCAACGTAATATATTTATAAGTTACAATATATTTTTTAATATTCTAATGGACAAAAGACATGATTCTACGTCAGTTACTAAAACTCTAGTTGCGACTTTTAAATACTATTTTTCTCGACACTAAACCATGTTTAACTGAATGTTTCAGGAAAGATGATCATTTTTCGACAGGATCTAAAAATCTAGGATTTAATTAGCATTTTCTACGACACTTCTATGCAAATCAATGTGTTTAGGTAAATTCAGGAAGACGTCGCAACAATAAATATAATTCTCCATTAAGTTTTACATGGTTTATTTCAGAACAGCATCAATCGTGCATTTTTGAGCCCTTTTGATTCAGTCTAAAATCAAAATTGATCAACTGAGATATTTTCTATATTTGCATGAAACATGATTAGTTGAATGAAATATAAGAAGAAAAATGATTTGGTCTTTTAGAAATTCTTTATTTGTCATTGCGCCTTACGAAGAAAGTTGAATTAATATCAGTAACTCTGTTTGGTCCCTCCCTTATGCGTGTAACCTTTTTTAATAAATAAACAAAGTATGACATTTACACTATATGCGGCAGTTCTGGTTGGATATTGAGCACTTTATTCGTGCGCGGGTGTCCCCCTCACCCAATAAATGACGTATGAGCATTTCCCCCATCGGTGAGTTTGGTTGTTGTGTGTATAGTATTTTCACATCAACCACCCTCGTAGTAACATCTTGAATTTTCCATCGGGGCATAACAATTTTACAAATGACCGTTGCTGACTTTAGTTGTGGTCAGCCAACATTCATCGGGAAATTATTCCGAAATATTAACGCTTTGCCATTTAATTACTGAGTACTTTATTTTCATTATTCGGACTATTGTCTTCATCTTTGTCGCCATATTTATTACAACGTTTCGAACGATGTACGCTCCGGCTTTCTTCAGGTGGTTGGAATGACGAACTGAACCCTTTATTTCTTTCACTGGAGTAAACTGTTCTAGTTTTACGTGCCATGTTTAATGGATGTCAGTTATCAATTATCTCCTGTTAATTCCCCTCTCCAATTTCTCTACTGCCTTAACCGGGTATTGAATTCACATTCTGTTGGGTCCTGTCACTCTATCTAACTAACGCCTTTATCAACTGTGTCCTTGAATAGTCCGAATAATATAAATAGTGTACATAATACCTCATCTCAGAAATATAGGCAAATACTGAGTACTTACATTATTATTAAAATATTTTATTATTATAGCTTATTATCATAATTTATTTTATTTAAATGTTTTCTTAACAATAGATTTCCAGTTTTTTATCAACATCTTGTTCCTTAATATATTTTTTTTATTTTATTATATTTCATTTTATTTTAATGTACAAAATGAACTTTAACGAGAAAAACCTTCTAGCACAACACATTGACCCAAATCTCCTTACAATAGATGCAGCTATTGGTTTGATGTAGTTCCTCCACTTCAAATCTATTGAAAACGTAAGGCCAAGAAGGTGCAGTGTGTTGCTGTCCAGGAGTCTAGCGTCAGCCATTGTTTCACTTTTATTAAAGCTTCGCCAAAGACTGAGATATAGAAAAAAATACATTCTGGTATTTTTTACTTTTGTATGTTTGATCTTCATTGATTAATCATGTATTAAATTCAACGACTCATTTAAACCAACGTTAATATAATTTGTGGTCTTCTGCTCTGGCAAAGCTACAATAAAAGTGTTAGACTGATGAATTTTTCCGTTTTGTTCTTTATCTTATCATTCTGTCGGATTCCGATCCATATTTGATCTATGATCCTAAATTATATATATATATATATATATATATATATATATATATATATATATATATATATATATATATATGTAATGGATGTTTCATTAAATAATATGGACAAGTTTTGTCTATTTATTTTAAGTTCCTTTCATATTGTCCGATAAGCTTAATCCAATTATCATTGAAAGACGAAAGGAAAACATCATATTGATACAAGTTTTCGGCTTACATAAGCCATTATCAAAGATGACAATTTCAATAAATCAAACAACACACGGACGAAACAACAATGATAGTCCGCCCTTGCTGCATGAAAATTTCCAAGTAACGACAAACCCGTGTATACGAGACGTGAAAGCGAAAATCGCGTCGCAGCTCGTGACGTCACAAATGACCACGCGAGAGGGAAAACAAGAAATATTAAGTATGGTAAGCCGTTCGTATAAACCAATGGCTTCTGTTATAAATTATAGGCATTTAAGGATATTTGTGAAGATTTCATAGTTTATTTTGTTCACGTTAGGTTTCAACTGTTTTATGTATAAAGTTTCAAGATTTTTTAATTTTTGTTTATTGTTTTTATGTTTAAGTATAGTTGTATTGTCAACAAGTTTTTTTCCGGAATTGAGTACGCGGGCAGGCATGTCGTTTTAAATGTCTAAAAATGTTAGAGTTATCATTTAAATGTAGAGTCAAGCGCCGTGAAAGCGAGTTTGAAGTGTGCATTAATGAAAATTGCTGCTTAAATATATATATATATATATATATGTGTGTGTGTGTGTGTGTGTGTGTGTGTGTGTGTGGTGTGTGTGTGTGTGTGTTTAGGGATGTCTGATTGAATAAATTACAAACATTATGTCTGCTTATTTTCATCATATTCACGAATATCCTTCTGTATATTACAGTCAAATGAGGCAAGAAATGCATTGTATCAGTGAAAATCATTTTTACTTTACAAGTACTTTCGATCTCTTTCTGAGATCATCCTCATCAGGGTGAACAACTGGTGAGGCCAAAACTTTGTGTAGCAATCCATTACAGATTTTTTTTTTTTACTTTTTGCGTTTAAATATAACGACTGATAATTATGCTTTAGAATTCATTAGAAAATGAAAAGTTATGCCTTATAATTTCATCTTTTATGCTGGAATATCATGGTCAAGTGCGCATTAAAGAAATCTACATAAGAAAATTGAAGCCGACACAGAATAGAATCAGCTACGAATATTGTAATAATATTCTAAAATGCCTATAAAAGGAACAGTTTTCACGCTTTAATGATTTCTAATGATGGTCTCAGAAACAGATAGAAAGCACTTTGAAAATAAAAAGTGATTTTCACTGTTACAGTGTATTTCTTGGCTGATTCAATTGTTATTTATACAATAATATTCGTGAATATGAAAATATTATGATAAAAGAATAAGCAGACATAATGTTTGCAATTTATTCAATTACGCACGCACACACACGCACCCCCACATATATATATATATATATATATATATATATATATATATATATATATATATATATATATATTACATTTACTGCCAGTGGTAATAAATCAGTGTTCGATGTATAATAACAAAGCTAAAATTTATCCTATTAATAATTACACTTTTTTTGTCAAAGATAGACACAATTGTCAGGTGTTGATTGAATACTGACCGTTGTCAAATTTCGCAATGATCAATTTTCAATCAGCACCTGATGATTGCACCGTACATGAAACTCAGAGTTGTGCAATTGGTGAGTAATAGAATGTATATGTATTATTAGTGGATAGATAGATAGATAGATAGATAGATAGATAGATAGATAGATAGATTTGCAATTGAAAATCATCCTGAGAAATGGTAAAATTATTAAGGTATTATTCACTGGAAATAACAAAATATTTCCCTCTAAAACTCATGGCCTCTTGGCATTTTTACCTGTTTTTTTTTTTAATTATCGTATGACATGAAAACCATTAGAAAGTACTTCTTTTTAATCGATATGCTTTTTAGCATCTGTCTACATTTCTCAGATGAGGTTTTAACTGTTTACCCTATTTACATCTTTCGGGGGGGATGGTCTCCTGATCTCTGATGTCATATCCACGTCGTTTTGGTCGCTATACACACATGGCCCGGTGGATAAAGTTTTGGTTATGTAATCCAAAAAGTAAATTGACCCAAAGAGTTGTGACTTCAGTACCTGGCCACAGCAGAGGTGGTCAAAAAAAGGGAAATTATTTGAGATATGCAAGCATAGCACGTAGGTTTAGAACAATCATCCCCTTGAACTAAATCAAGGGGACGGTTCGAAATTCCAACGTATATCAACTGAATATGCCAATAAAGATGTAAATAGTGTAGGTGCTTCCTTAGTTCCAGGAAATTGCCAGTGCGTCCTTCTCTTTCCCCTCCAATACACACCACCCACCCTCACCTTGGCTCTGCAGCACGTGAATAGTTCTTCAAGATGCCACGCGGAGGATTATATGTTATATTTAATACTTATTTGCTTTACTTCATGTTTAGTTTTAGTGGAAATATTAAATTTAAATAAGACAGATATGAACTGAACGAGATAGGTATAAAAGGAGCAGAATTAGATAGATAGATAGATAGATAGATAGATAGATAGATAGATAGATATGAACAGACTAACACAGACAGGTAAATAAATAGATATGAATAGACTAAAATAGATAGATAGATAGATAGATAGATAGATAGATAGATAGATATGAACAGACGAATACAGATAGGTAAATAAATAGATATGAATAGACTAAAATAGATAGATACATAGATATGAACAGACTAACACAGATAGGTAGATAAATAGATATGAATAGACTAAAATAGATAGATAGATAGATATGAACAGACTAACACAGATAGGTAGATAAATAGATATGAATAGACTAAAATAGATAGATAGATAGATAGATAGATAGATAGATATGAACAGACTAAGATAGATAGATAGATAGATAGATAGATAGATAGATAGATAGATAGATGAAACGGACTCTGCGTGGATTTCGACGTATGCTGGTCAAACAGTTAATTTCAGATCAGAGCGCCTAGGCCATATACTCCCCCGAATATAGTAGTGATGGCTTGCGAACTTTCTTGGATAAAACGTTACATTACTGAAATCTTTAATTTTTTTCTTTTTAATCCAACATCTATTTTTTATTCCAAACGCACCGTCTAGTTGAAATTCATGTGTAGCCAAACATTCCGTATTGGTTATCTAGGAAGAGGATGAGAAGCTTAGGACAGCCACTGAGGAGTGACGTCATAACCTCCCAAACCAGCATGCAGTAATATTCTACAAAAAGCACTAAATTATTATGTGGATGTGACGTTGCAACTGCTAGGTAACCATGACATGTTTGAGGATATTAAAATAATTGCTGGCAGCAAACCATCTTCAGGCAGATAGAAAATAAATGCAGTACAAAAAACATAGAAAGTGTTGTAAGACAAGGATGTGTCATCTTACCGGACTTAATCATCTTATACGGTGAGGCGTTATCGAGAGAATTAGAATTTCGAATCTCCAGATCACTTATACTTGTGTCTCCGCCTATCTCCCTACAATGCTGTAAGCTACCTCTTCTTCCTCTATCACTCTCCATCCCCCAAGACTGTTGTGTACCCGAAAGCATTTCTGACAATATCTCCTTTGTTCGACCAATTTGAGGTCCTGACTTCAGCTGATAAGGCTGAGTGCTTTTCTCGAAAATTCACTTTCAACTCAACGCTAGACTCATGCGATGTACCCACACCCGATTTACCCCTAGAACTTAGGCTCTTTTGAGCGAATTGCACATAACCCCATCCTTGATATTGGACATCATCTCAAAATTAAACTCCCATAAGGATAACGGGATACCAGCCATTGTCCTGAAGAAATGTGCTCCTTGGCTGGCTCCTGCCCTCTCCAAATTATATAACCACTGTCTCAATAAATCTTGCTTTCCAGCCTGTCGTAAGACCCCATCGGTTGTACCTGTCTTTATGAACTCTGGGCACCCTTCTGACCCAACTAACTCCCGTGCTATCAGTCTCCTACCACCCTTCGGCAAAGTCTTTGAGGCTTTAATCAACACCGAAGTGGTTAATCACCTTATATCCCATGATCTGCTCTCTGATGAGCAATATGGTTTTCGCTTTACTCGTTCTACAGCTGATGTGCTCACGGCCATAACTGAAATTGTTTACCAAGCATTAACAGAGATCTCTAAAGCGTTTGATAGTGTTTGGCATGCCGGTATCCTTCGTAAGATTAAGGGGTACGGAATTTCAGGTCGAGTATTTGATTAATACGATCATCCCTGTCAAACCGTGTAATGAAGGACGTCCTTAACGGATTCTGCTCCGTTTCCTTTCCCACGAACGCAGGTGTTCCCCAAGGCTCTATCCTAAGCCCTACTCTGTTCCTTATCTTCATTAACGATCTTCCTGATGTCATCAGTTCCCAAGAAGGCATCTATGCTGACGACACTACTATTTACTCTTGCCTCAATAGTAAATCTGGTATCGTAGACAAAATTAACCTGGCCATTAGTCTCGAAAAAGAACCTCCAATCGGTTGTACACTAGGATAGCAATTGGCTGGTTAACTTTAATGCATCTAAAACAAAACTGCTCTCTATTACTCACTACAGGTAACCATCCATGCCACCCATTAGAATGTCTGATGCTCAACTCCACGAGAGCCGCTCTTTGCGACTGCTTGGTCTCACACTGTCCGTTGACCTGAGATGGAACAATTACATTAAATCAATAGCTTCATCCACCGCAAGGAAAGTCGTTTCCATTCGCTCTTGCATGGGATATTGCTGTCATATATAGTCTGGAAACCCCGCTGTTCGTCTTAGGGTCCTCGACAAAATCTAGAGACGGATATGCAATGTGATTGGCCCTGATCTGGCATCTCGTCTACAGTCGCTCTCTCACAGACGTGCCGTTGCCTCCTTCTGTCTTTTCTACAAATACTTTCACAGTAACTGCTCTGACGAGCTACTTTCGCTAGTTCACAGACTGCATTTAAGCGTGCTACTAGGCTGGCATCTCGAACCCACCCTTTTACTGTCGAAACGGTTAAATGTTGCCGTCTCTTCTACTCCAATAGATTCATGTCTCGCACTTTCCGTCTGTGGAACTCTCTTCCTCCTAATTGCTTCCCTGATAGCTATAATCTCCAACTATTCAAATGTAATGTCAATCGACATCTCCAGATGCCCTGAACTATCCCCTGCCCTTTTCTTCATCCTTTCCTCCATCACGCCTCTTTACTCTCGCTCCTACTCTATAATCCCTTGCCTACTAATGGCATCCCACCTTGCTTGGGGTGGAATGCTTAAAAGAATCGTTATTGTTGGTCATATTCTTAACAGGAACTCCCAAAGAAGTTAGAGAGTGAAAGCGAAAGAGAATCCACAGTTGTTAGCAAAAGGAACAGGCTAGCATTCAAATCACAAATTGGAGACATCCAAATCAAAAAAGTACGAAAATGTAAATATCAGGGAAGTGTTTTAACAGAGCGCGAAATGTGTGACACTGAAATCCGAAGTCGGAATAGGATAGTGAAAGATGCTTTTCAAAAACTAAGCAAAGTATTAAAAAAACGGAAATATCTGATTCCATAGGAAAGAGGACTGAACTGTTATGTAATATTAGCCCTCCTATATGGCAGTGAATGTTGGACAATCTCTTCAGTGTTGAAGGAGAGACACCAGAAATGTGTTTCTACTGAAGGATACTGAGAATGCCATGGACCGAACATGTGAGCAACGACGAATGAAAACAAAAAAGAAACTTAAACTTAATATCAGGGAGAGCCAATTGAAATTTCTAGGATACGTAAGAGGGCTTGAAAAATTTGTTACTCACAAGGGCAGATTGAATGCACGGAGGACAGAGGGACAATGCATAACATATTTAGAGAGCTTCAGTAAATTGAAAATGGAACAAGGTATAGGGCAGATAACAAAAAGATTAACTAAGTGGTATAAAGGATAGGAAATAGCGGAGAGCCATGATCGGCACAGAGAAGAAGTCTCTGTGTGTGTGTGTGTGTGTGTGTGTGTGTGTGTGTGTGTGTGTGTGTGTGTGTGTGTGTGTGTGTTTATAAGATTTTATTCCTCCTAAGGTTTGTTAATGTGTAAGTTTGAAATTGTTCTGAAAATCTCTTGAAGCGTTGATTGTCATGGCGGGAAAATATGACGGGGGTTGCCTAGCAACAGAAATAAAGAATAAAATTCTCTGTTGTTTACGCTTCCAAGGAAAAAAAAGATGGCTAATCGAACTTCAAGCAGAATATGGGTCTTTTTATTCCAAAAGCCAAATGTTGGATTACAATAGAAAAAATCATTTTGAATCAAATGCAGCCTCCCACGCCTACACACCATTCTTGAACGCCAAATAATTGTCTGTGATTAGCCTAACCTTGACACCAATATTTCCTTGAGGAATTGAGTCAGTAAGGATTCGGTCGCTTCGAAATTTTCCAAGAGGAAATCTACTGCTGTCATAATGTTGATCTTGTTAAGAGACAGAGAGGAAATTTACCTGAAAATGTGAAATAGATACCTTTTAAATCCATGTCCCGTAGCTGATCATGGCTCTCCATAAAGTTTTTTTTTTCTTATTTTCTATTAATTGCCATGTATTCTTGGAGGAAATATTTAAATAGTTACTCGCTATATTCACTACTGTTTGCTAATTCAAAATTTTCCTTTTCTTAGACTGGTTGCCCCATCACCAAGTGGTGTGAGCGTAGTCTATCTTGCTATTTAACCCATAGCTGGGACAAGAATAATTAGATTCATATAATTCCCAAGGAATGCAACAGCAAGGTCCAAATTTTACACACAACCCACTGAATCAACTTACTGCGACGGTGCTCAACGGGCTGCGTACAATAGGTCTTCTTCTTCTTCTTCTTCTTCTTCTTCTTCTTCTTCTTCTTCTTCTTCTTCTTCTTCTCTGTGTCGCGTCCATTCAGTACGTGGTCAGTCATGACTCTCCGTAATTCTCTGTCCATTGTTGCGTTTAGTAATCTTTTTTTTTATTTTGCTATCTTCCCTAATCCCTGTTCTGGCAACCATTTACACAATCAGGTTAATCACTGATTTCCTCTTGTTTTCAATATATTCTGTGTATCAAATTTTCCAAGCACTCTTTCCTCATTGTCCGCTCTATAAATTTCCATTGTCTCTCTCTGATTCTAAGTGCAAGCATCATTTTGTTTCTGTTTTCCAAAAACTTCATCATTGGCTAAGTCGTTTACCACATGTTCAGTCGATGGCATTCTCAACATCCTTCTGTAGACGCACACTTCTGTTGCCTCTAATCTTTTTATTTTCATCTGTGAGGAGAGTGTCCAGTATCCACTGCTATATGGCATAGCCGATATTACATAACAGTTCAGTAATCTGCTTTTTTTGTTACTATCGAAATTTTTCTATTTTCTTAATACGTTGCTGAGATTTTGGAAGGCATCTTTCGCTATCCCAATTCACCTTCGGATTTCGGTATCGCATTCAGCAATAGGTATACTGATATGTCTTAACAAACTTTAAGTAAAAGATCTATATATTGGGATGTCCGGATAATGTAACAATTAGCAACTCGTCGAACGGAGTTTGAATTCCGACCGAGTACCTTACTTTAACTTTCGCATTTGAACTCATAAAAAAAACGTATAAAACCATCGCGGTTTAGGCTAAGTAGCAGGGTTGACCAGGTTCTCTTGCCTTGAGGTAGCAAGAAGTCTAGAAATAAAATTATTCAGACATTTACAATTGAGACCCTTCCCCATCCACAGGTTCGAATCATTCTCATTCCTTTCATATTCTACGTGTAAAAAGGAGTTTCCTTTCAGCCTCTTTCCAAGAACAGTTACTTTCTGAAACAGGCAACAGCCTGGATATTTACTCGCCCCCGGTAACCGAACACAGCCCTCTTCAAGACCAGAGTCAAATGTTATCTGTCTTACTTATAATTGTAGAACCAAGTTAAAAAAAAATTATTCAATCAATAGTATCACTAAGATCACAATTCTGTGTAAAAATAGGTTCATGTCAAATTCAAATTTCCACATTAGCATTTATTGACCAATAAAAAACACACACAACCATTTCTGTGTCGTATGCTCAAAAAATGAAAGCTTACATCCAGTAAAATGATTAAAAATCTTTTCCCACCTAAAATCAATAATAAAAATTAGAAAATATATTTATTAACCAATAAAACTTTTAAACTGAATAAACTTATCTATCAACTTCTTGTGATCCGATTTTTTTGTATA